CCCCAAAACCCCAAAACCCCAAAACCCCAAACATATATTAGCTCGTAGATAAATAAATATTTTATTTAATGGCGAACATTATCAAGTCAATTATACTGAAGACTTGCCATGCAATCAAGAGTTGAGATATCTTCGGCAAGAAAATTACCCTTAATTACAAAGGAAATGAAAAGCATCAAACTTTTATTGGTGGCTATGCTAGTATACTCTTCATTCTCACTATTCTTGGGTATACTACTTATCTCTTAAGAGATATGTTCAGAAAGGACCCAATTGTATACAGCACTAGTAGAGTAATTAAAGATTTAACAACTGATACTACTGAGCATAAACCAGCAGACCATGGCTTTGCAGTTGCTCTTGGGTTCAGATACCGTAACGTGAGTCTTCTTGATGAAGAACTTTTGAAAAAGTACAAAGTAGCCGCTTACCAATACCACTCAATTAGTGATCCAGTAAATGGAGGTTGGATAAACAATTGGACTGAGCTAGATTTAGTAAAATGTGGAGAAAATTTTCCTTATAAAAATAAGACTCTATTGGCTCATTACAATATTGATAATTACGTATGAATTAAGCCAACTAATTACTCTTTACTAGGGAACTGGTATACAGACATTGGAAAAGAACTGAGAATTTTAATTGATAAATGAACTTCGTATTATAGAGACGACTGAGATAGTGATGAAGACATATACTCAGATGTCTTTAAAGATTGGTTCGATATAATAATGGTAGACAATTACTTTGATCCCAAGGACTTCACAAATCCCATCAAGAGTTATTTGACTCAGAAACACTACCACTCTTACCAAAAAGGGTTTACTGTTCACACTGATATATTTTTGAAGGAGAACAAAGTTTCCATGCAAGAAGGATTCACTAACCTTGAGGGAGAAAACCATGAGAAGTTTTACTCGGTGGCAAGTGAAAAGTTTGATAAATATGCATCAAGCTCTTCTACATTCGGCAGAATCTACATTCATCTTGATCCTGAAGTTATAACTCATGAGAGATCATATCGGTCAATTTATGATGTACTAGGTAATATTGGAGGTATTACTAGCCTCCTGAATGCCTTAACATGTGCTGTTGTTGGGTTTTATTCTGACATCATTTTCAAGCACAAGACAATTTCAAATATTTACACTTTTGATGTTGATGAGATTGATAAAGACACCATAAGAGAGAACATCAATGAAGATGGTAATTAAAAATTAAATCAGTATAAACCTCTTTGACTCTTTGAGTTTCTAGATGTGAAATTATTGTATGTTAACACCACAAAGCAGTACATTCTATTAAGCTGTTTTAGCAAAAGTGCATTGTTAAATATTTAATACTTAATTTATTGTCTAGAAACGTAAGCAGTTTATATTTTATACTCCTTGGTGTTAAACTTTGCATTTAGAAGAAAACTCAAAGAGAGAATTCACATCTTATGACAAAAATATCTTCTCTGATAATCTTCCGGTAGTTAGAGAACGAGATGGAGAAGATAAAAAGGATTGTAACCAAGAAGATGAGAAGGATAGAAGTGAAGAAGATGAGAAGGATAGGAGTGGAGAAGATGAGAAGAATAGGAGTGAAGAAGATGAGAAGGATAGGAGTGAAGAAGACGAGAAGCAACAAATTGAAAACCCTGTAACTGCCTCATATCAAAAGATTGGCATTTAGCCCTGATGATGAAAATTTACTCAAGAAAACTCTTGAGAGCAAAAGAAGATATGCTTACTCTAATTTTGATGTTATTTTTGGCTTTCTTTTTTGATGTAGAAAATTATTTAAGAAGAAACAAATCAACTATGATCTTTATCAAAAGGGGCTGAAAAGATATTACCACGATCTTGATGCGGTTAATATTATTTCTAATTTACATCAACTTAACATCATGATGAAGGTAGTATTCAATGAAAGACAGCAAATCTTGTCAAGCTTTAGCAATTTGAGATCTCTGGAAGATGATACCTCGAAGAAGCTTAGATCATGAGGAGTGGTTTCAAAGTATAAGCATAGACATTTTAAAGCAAAATACTCCCAGCAAAAAGAATCTATTAAAGGTACTAACTTATTTAATAATTTTAGGATTAATAGAAAATATGAGAAAATCAACCCTTTCAAACTATGATAAACTTCTGATTGCTCAGATAGATCCAAAATTAAGTGAAACTATGAATTTGCTTTCTATAAAAGAAAAATCTTTTTCTGTTACAAATTCCCCAATGGAGCACATCAGAGATAATTCTTATCCATCGAGCAGGAAATATTGCAAAAAACTGAGAAAGCTTATTTATCTGATATAGAACTACATTTTTAACAAAAAAGGAACTTCTAAGAAATCCAAAATCAATTCTAAAGAAGAAGACTTAGAGTACTCTTCTATCTAACCACCTATAGCTCCTTGGACATTCCACAAGAAAGTATCCAAGTTCCTACAGGAAACACACTCCTCTCAAAGACCACTATAATCCAGCCAGCCACAAACATTCATCACCTAAACAAATCTCCCCACGATTCCTCCTACGATCCCTAAATCTCCCGCCCAAATCCCAAATTCTAAAAGCTAACTTAAATGTTCTGACTCTGACTTCCATATTTGAATAAACCAATTGAGATGTTGCCAGCTGGGGTTTTGGGGTTTTGGGGTTTTGGGGTTTTGGGG